GCTGAGGCAGACCTGCTGATTGCATCTTTTTTTTAAAATTTTATTTATTTATTTATTTTTCCTTCATCCTGAACCTTTTTGCTGCTCAACAAATAACTTTGAGCCTCGGTCAGAAAAAACTGGAAGGTTTTTATACTTTTGGCCCAAGAGGAAAAGGAAACAAATGTTGGATTTAGGTGCCCCCCCCGCACGCTTTTCCTCCTCGCGATGCGGCTCGTATCAAATCAGACCATCTTTTAAAAAATTCAATGTAGCATATACTTTTTTATCATTACTTCGGATATACTTGGTCTAACAACACAATCTAAAAACTGGTTTAAAATTCGAAGTCTCTACTTTTCACTCGAGGGTCTCAGAGAGGGCAGATCTTTACAGGTAGAGTTTTTTTTCTTCCCGAACTTTATTTAGGTCAGCCAGCATAGACAACGCTCTGCGGGTGACGTAAACRGCTCCATAACATGGCGAGGGACACATAAATCGCACGACACAACGAACCGATAATGAAATTCGTTGCCAACGCTTTTAATAATCGATTTTTATCGATTCGTTGTTGTAGCTCTAGTTTAAAGTTTGTATGAGAGAGGAGTTCCGAAATATTTATTAAGAATCTTAGTGCATTGGTATGCTCACCAGAATATGTCTGTAAAATGGGGAAACTCTGTATCATCATCTTTTTATGTGGGTAATGGTGTGCGACAAGGCAGTATTTTATCTCCTTGCCTTTTTAACCTGTATATGGATGATTTATCTAAGCTGCTGAATCAATGTAGAACTGGCTGTCGGGTTGGTAATHGAACCATCAACCACCTGATGTATGCTGACGATCTTGTGATATTCTGTCCATATAGTGCTGGTCTGCAGCAACTGTTAAGGGTTTGCTCTCAGTATGGGTTACAGCATGACATTAAATACAATGCAAAAAAGAGCAACATCATGATTGTTAAAAGCAAAGAGGACACTAAATTAACTTTTCCTGACCACTCTGTCTGGCAGCATCCTCCAGGTCACGGATGAGGTCAAATATTTGGGACATTACATCACCGCTGACCTGTCTGATGACAGAGACATTTACAGGCAGCGTTGTACTCAATATGTACAAGCTAATATTCTCCTTCGGAAGTTCTCCATGTGTTCAACATCTGTCAAAAT